CGCGAGGAGAGGAGTGGGCCGCGATCCCCTCTATCAACTTGCCCACCAGTCGCTTCGCAGCCGCTGTAGGGAGAGGTTGAGCTTGTGCCGGTGATATTTCGCAAAGCTTTTTACGAGACGGTCGTCGGGTTATTTCGTCACGTGACCGTCGAGAACTCCTTGTCAGTTTGGAGATCGACCGACTTGTCGTCGCGCGGTCGCCCGCCGTATCGAAGTGAAGAAGATCCTGGAGACGCGCGCGCTTACATGAGCGTGTTCACTCGCGCAGCGATTTAACCTCCGACGGCGCGCGCCGTCTCGAGTAAACAACGGAGAGTGTGTATAGTGTGTCAGTGCCTCGGTGTGTTGTCCACACAACGGTTTATCAGCCAGAGGATATACAAGGAGACAACGGTGAAGTAAACTTAAATAAACATCGTTGTGTAATAAACGTGTCGGGATATATATATACACACACATATATATGTAATCGTCGTTGCCACAAGCGACGGTGAAGAAATCTCGGCCGGTGTTTGTCCGGCTCCGAACGGCATCGTCGCGCAGTTTTTCCTGCCTTACCGACCGAAAAAAGGGCACGCCGCGCGCCGCGTCGTTCGCGAACACAAAGAAGAGCGCGGCGACGCCGGGATCATTGCACTCCGCGGCGTCCTGTCGTGCGTGACACCACCGAATGGACGTAACGACCACCGGCATTCTTATCTGACTGTCGGGTCCCGAAGTTGACTATCCGAATTGACTCGCGTGCGCGTGCGTTGCAAACGGTTGTTGTGTTTTGAAGCGGCCGCTCGCGCTCGAATGGGGAAGAGACGGTAGTGGCGACGGATTGGATGGATTGGATACCGCCGATGGATTTTCGGCGGGGAGACGACGGACTGTTGCTGCGAATTACGTCGCACAGGAACGCACGTCGCGGGCCGACACGTCATCGCCGCGTGTGCCGGTCGGCATCGTAGCGACATATCGCAGCGGTGCAGCGTGCGTTTTTTTCGTCAAAGTGTAGTAAAGTAAAAAAAAAAAAAAAAAATATTCCAAGTCTCTCACCGTGCGTCGGCTCAGTCTCTTATTATCGATTGTTGTGTTGTTTGTTATTATTATTATTGTTATTGTTAAAGAGTTGCACATACTCGCGTCTCGGTGCACAGTGCGTCGTCGGCCACGTGACATGACGCGTTTCCGCGGTCCCTGAAAAGTGCCAGAGTGATATATCACACACATACCCACGCTTGCATACATACGCATATATTATATAAATAAATACACAACTTCTTTCGTCGAACGCGCCGTCGGGTGCAGGAAACCACGTCAGGAAGGATGTATCCCAGCGCCGGTATCAACGCAGCCGCCGTGGCCGCTGCTGCCGCCAGGCATCCGGTACGTATACTGATTGCTCATTTATCAATAACAACAACAACAACAACATGTTTATTTATATATAAACCTCCGATATCAATGATGACATTTGCGGCCGGGAACAAATTGCGTGACCGCAGTTGCCGTGTAAACCTCGTTCGAACACAGAGCGATCGAATTTAATTGCTGCGGATTCTCGAGTCGAATAAAATTGGAGCAGCTGTATAAGTGATTCCCCGCGGTCTCTGATGACACACGTCGATAACGAGGCTCGGAATATGATTTTCGGACCAATAGTCGACGGAACGATCGTGTCGACGAGAAATATTTTTGTTTTTTTCTCGGTGTAATTGTCGAACCTGGGAAAAGTTTCTCCGCAATAATCGCTCGTCCGGCTTATTGTCGGTAGCCGTGCGCTTTCGTCGATTATGTCTTCGAAACCGCTTACACACGCGCGTCCGGTTTAGTTTCTATAACGTTCTATCTTAAATGCATTCGTCGCGACGGGCCGGCGCGGTTAGTAGCGCGCGACCGATTTACGTATATAATTTATTTATATTGCTGTTTAACTTCGTCCTTGATCGCGTTGCTTCTGACTTCGAGCTTCCGATCTTTCGGAATGTTTTTCCGTCGAAGTCTTTTGCGCGCGAGAAAAAGTAATATGCTTCGTGGCGATTTAAAACGCATTAGGCAAGATTTTTTTTTTTTTTTTCATTTTCATTTTCTTTTCGGCTGTATAACCGACGACGGGAAATAGGCAATTTTTTTCGCACACAATATGGTTCGCGCTCGATTGCGCTCCCGTTACTCCCGAGCCAGGTGATTTGCACCTCGGTAATACGATCCGTCGTTGACTCCGCGAACGAACTTCTCGAATTTCGTTTCTGCGTCGGTTTCTCAACGAGAATATTTCGATTTTCGGCGCATGCGACGAAGAAACACGCTCGGCGGGACGCGCGCGTTTCGCTACGCTCGCGTATCGGATTTCTCGTTGCTCGCTAAAAAAATTTCGTTACTACAAAAACACGCACGCCCGGTTTCGTGCAACCAGGCCATTTCGCGACGGCGCGTTCGTGTGCATCGGCACGTGAAAACACATGTCGCAAATTACAGATGTTGAACTTACATACTACGTGCGTACATACATACGTACTTACGACGACTGCGAGGAAGCGAAAGTTTGAACAAAATTGAATTTGCGGTGTGTAATGCGCGTCGCACATGCGTGCGCTTCCTTTTCAACCGTGCGCATTCCGAAATTCGGCGGTGCGAACGCGGAACAATCGCATTCGCCACCGCGTCCCCGGCATTAGCTTCGCGACCGTGCGAGAAGCGTTTCGCCACGGCACGTCGGAGTCGTTGATCCGTGAATCGAGCGGAGAGCTCTCTGTCTATGCAGAAAGAGAGAGAGAGAGAGAGAGAGAGAGAGAGAGAGAGAAGGAGAGAGACTCGGTCGCGCTGTCTGCATTTAATGGCCCGGTCGAGATAATGGCGACTTAGTCGTCCACCAACGGGCTCTCCCGGGGTCGTTGCGTAGTTCCGTCACGTTCGCCGTTTCTCCCTGGTTTTCTTTCTCGCTCGAGAGCGCCGGTACAAACGTTCGTCGCGCTCCGACCATTGTACAGGATATTAACGCTTTTTTTATTTTTGTTTTTCTTCGTCTCGTGCGCGATGCAACGCTCTCGAGACGCTAAAAAGGCGCGTAAGAGAACGACACGCACTCGGACGTTGGTCGCAACTCGCGCCGCGGACAAACAATTTTTTTTCGCGGTTCGCTAATCGCGCAACGGTTGGAATAACCGTTTGAACGTGAGTCATGGAAAGAAAAAAAAGATATCGGCGTGTTTTATCAGTTCTTGTGGGCGATAATTGGTGTGACGCGCGACAAGAGTCATACGTCACTTCGGCTCCGATGTCATTAACTCCGAGAAAAGAGAGGCGGCTCTCTCCTTCCTCTGCTCCCTGTTAGAGAGTTGCGTAATAAAGAGACCCTGGAAAAGACCCAACCCTAAATAATAATGGGTGTCACATGGGGGGATACGATCCGACATAGTCTTGTAGCACTTTTGATGCGTACACAAGACCGGTGAGAAACTCGCTCGAAAAGAGATCGATCTAACCCGTTTCTTCTCGCGTGTACAAGGTGTCACCAATTTGTACATTTCTTTACATTGTACTTGAAGTCAAAACAACGAACACACACACACACATTAAAAGTGTGTAATGTCGGTTACTTAACTTTTCTAGTTTAAAAAAATATTAAATTGAACATATTACTTTTTGTTACTTTGTGTGTATAATCGAATGTTTCGGGACTGAAGGAGGAGAAAAACGGTCGGCGACGACGAGCGACGATCCGTAACTAGCGGGGAAATAAGAACGGACGGTGCGAAGTGCTGACGTTAGTTAGTAGGGTACACATTGCGAACGTGAACGGACGGGGCGGAAGAGCGGGCGAACGAACGAACGAACGGCGTTACATACGTACACGCGTACACACGTGCGCATTAGACCGGACCTCGTCGCCGGGGTTACCAACTCCTGTAAACTGTACGGCGCGCACGTTTGCGCAGGACCCCCGATTCGGCAAATATTGGTACTTTTAATCGGTCTGTTTGCGCCGACACGCTGTTCAAATGCGCTCGAATGTGCACAGCTGAAAAAACTCCCGCTCGTCAGCACAACCGGTCGTCCCAAGACTCTTTCGTCGTCGTCTTCTTTGTGTTTGAGCTCGTCGCTCGCTATTAATACGTAGCGATACAATCGATACCGCTTAATTAGTAACATGACAATTTTCGATTGCGCAAGACTTCGCAATTCTCTCACGTTGCTTGAAAAAAAAAACGTGTGTAACATGGAAAGTTTTCTCGTGCTTATTATAATTTCTTAGCAGCACACTCGGCGCATTTTTATCGCTGCTGAAGATTTTCCGTTTATCTGCGAACTTTGTACCCAACGCGCAAACTTGCTGTTTTTTCAATGATTTTCAAATTTTATTTTACATTTATCACATTTCGAACGTTCGAGTTTGCGCGCTAATAAATTTTTATATTAGCAGGTTATCGAATTTCTCTTGTTTTTTTTTCTACACAGAAATATACACATTAATTAATATCTTAATAACTAATGCAAAAATTTTGCATAATCGTATCTGACTTTTCTGTTCGGAACAACCCACAATCAACACTTCGACTGTGTCAAACAATTTCAGACACCCTATGTACAATATGCACGATGTGTTAATGCGAATATTCGGAGCGAGGTGAAGAGGGAAAGATATCGGAAACCGGAGCGATCCGTTCCGGCGTGTTCCAGTAATATCTTTTCTCTCTTTCTTCTCGGTAATTGCCCGAATTAAAATCCGAGATCTTAACCGGCGCGCGGTACAACCCGCGCGCCGTACGTACACGCTTCGGCGCGCCGCGCGTCCCGCTCGCGCATTACTCGGAAATATGGAATCACGGTGATATCTTGAGCGTCACGTCGTCCATTATGCCGATGCGGCCAGTAAATTTCACGCATTATACTCCCATTATACGTTTCCTGGCCGAGTCGGATCGCGATCTCGTGCTCTCGCCCGACGTAATTACACGGTGCCGCGCCGACGAATGGATGGAGGAACTTTGCGGCGTTCGCGCGCGTGTTTGTACGTGCCGCATTTGTGCACTCATACGTGTATGTAATGTGTGTGTGTGTATGAGTGTGTATGTATGTACGTACGTACGTACGAGCAGCGCGATGGTTTTAATTTCCACTTTCCTTACGCTTTCTCCTTCTCGCGGCCGGTTCCTCTTATCGCGCTACGCCGGGCACATCTGCCAATGCTAACGTGTAACGCGCGAGGCGTTTACCGATTTTATCGCGAGACGTCTGTATTTACCTTTGGATACAATTACGCGCTAATGTGCGGCGACCGCGCAGGAAGCGGTTTCGCGTGATACACGCAATCGATGCCGAGCCGAGTGAAATGCCTCTCCTTCTCGCCGTTCCCTCCCTCCCTTCCGATCAACACGCTCGATGTGACGCGCGATCTTTTGACTCGTTTATTCCGTGTTGCGTCTTTTTTTTTTGTTGGTTACTAACGCGCTTTACGATGTAATAAGCAATAATAATCGCTGTTGGTTTGAGAGAGAGAGAAAAAAAAATTAAGCTATTATAATCACATTCGATCGTTGTGTTGTTCAAAAGCTGAAAGATTCTAAACTCGACGATTTCGGTGAAACGCACAAACAGAATGAACAAGCGATTATATACAGATCTGGTGAAATCTTTCATCCTCGCGCTTGTCGAAATAATCTCTCTGGTTCTACAACAGACAGAAACGAGCGCTCGAGTTTCCAGAGATATCCCTTCAAAGCCCTCGGGGTGTCGTAAATTGGTCTACTGGGATTGATCCAAGGAGGCTTCGGGGGGTTGACCCACGGGTCCTCATGGTTATTTCTAATTTGGCCTTCCCCAGTTTCTCCTTTCACTTCCCGCAGCCTTCTGGGTTTGACCCCTCCCGTCGTTTTCGTAAGTCCGATTCCGACCTGGGGATCCACGTTTACCGTAGCCTGCAAATATACAATTTCACACCTGATTGTCGAGATTTCGGTTCCCTTTCAAAACGGTTTTGACAAAAAACGTTTTGTAGGGGGAAAAAGTGCGTTCTATTTTATCGTTGAATCTGCGGCCACGTGAACATACGGCGGGTCTTTACAAACACGTTGTATGTAAGGACAAGGCAATAAATGCGGGCACGCACTCCGAGACTGCAGGTAGCCGGAACAGAAAAGAGTCGTTTGTGGATGGTCTATCGTTGAAAAAGGTAAAAATTCTCGGTTTCTTCGGTAGAACAGCTACTAATTGCCATTGAGCTTCTCGTGTTGTCGATATGTCCTTCGTTTTCCTATTTTCTTCCGTATTTTTGTGGGGTTTTTTTTTTTTTTTTACAATTCAATAAAACAGTTATTTTGCGGTCACGGCACGTTCTGTTCGACCGATTGTATTTCGGTATACAACAAAAGTGGCTTTGAAAATGA